GCAGTATCATTGGTGCCCACGTGGAGAAGCAGGAAGGGGTAGCAATCCGAGGGCTTGATGAGTCTCGGCAGTCTCTCTGTCACATCGTGAATCCTAGCTCCTGGCAAGCAGCAGACTTCAGTTTTCCCGGTCGGGGCGGCAGAGTTCCCTGAGGAGAGAGTCCCCGAGTCCTTCTCTTGGGAGCGGTGGTCGTGGAACCCCTATTCCTCTTCTAGACACTTCCCTTTCTCTGGAGGTGATAGGCATTATCAGGGCAGGATTGTATTCCTAACAGCCCAATAGCACCTTATTTCTAAGGTCAGGCTTGACAAAGCCCTGGCTGGGATGAGTTAGTTGGGGATCGGTCCTGCTTTGAGCAGGGGGTTGGACTAGATGACCTCCTGAGGTCCCTTCCAACCCTGATATTCTATGATTCTATGATTCTATGATTCTATGACTGGTTTCGAATGCAAGGATGTGACCATTGGCTTCCCAGCTTATGGCTGCCTCTGCTGCTTAGCCAAAGGCCCTAGCCTAAGAACAGGGCCTCAGACTGTCACAGTGAGAGAAGGCCCTTACACCGGCAGACAGTGATTTTGATTCTTTCTTTTATACCTCTATAACTAGAAAAGGAGTACTTGTGGCACCTTAGAGACTAACCAATTTATTTGAGCATAAGCTTTGTGAGCTGTAGCTCACGAAAGCTTATGCTCAAATAAATTGGTTAGTCCCTAAGGTGCCGCAAGTACTCCTTTTCCTTTTGCGAATACAGACTAACACGGCTGTTACTCTGAAACCTCTATAACTAGCTAAGTGATAAGAATACACCTAAATTCTTAGAGTATAGGCCTTTACAGACAGGTCTGAATATCTATATCCTAACAGCTTGAATTAATATGCAAACTAGATACCATTAACTTGGGTTTGAATAGAGACTGGAAGTGGCTGGGTCATTACACATATTGAATCTATTTCCCCATGTTAAGTATCCTCACACCTTCTTGTCAACTGTCTAAATGGGCCATCTTGATTAGCACTACAAAAGTTTTTTTTCTCCTGCTGATAATAGCTCATCTTAATTAATTAGCCTCTTACAGTTTGTATGGCAACTTCCACCTTCTCTGAATGTATATATATATATATATATCTTCTTACTATATGTTCCATGCTATGCATCCAATGAAGTGGGCTGTAGACCACGAAAGCTTATGCTCTAATAAATTTGTTAGTCTCTATACGGTGCCACAAGTACTCCTGTTCTTTTTGTGGATACAGACTAACACAGCTGCTACTCTGAAATTTATCTGTATGGTCTCTGTCTGGTTCTTTTCTGTCTGTTACATAATTAATTTTGCTAGGTGTAAATTAATTAAGGTGGTGGGGTAGGATTGGTTAAAGAATTTTGTTACATTATGTTAGGATTGGTTAGTAAAATTTTAGTATAATGATTGGTTAAGGTATAGCTAAAAAGGACTCAAATTTCACTACATAAACTGGGGTCCAAAAGGAAATTCTTTGGGAATCAACTCCAGGACACAGCCCCAAAAATCAGAGCTGCCAGACCTCAACACTCTGCCAATGATGTTGGATCATATTAAAGAAGTTCTGTATTAAAATCACAAATGAGTTTGATTCCCCATAGTTTAAATTCCAGGGTATTACTAATTAAGAGGTCTCTTGGTTTTTGGTACTGTTTCTCTCCCTCTATGTGTGAAACTTGCAAGCTGCTAATTGTGTTAGTACATTCTAAGACAGAGTCTGTTCTCAAAGCAATTCACAGAGAGAGAGACTCAAAGCAATACTCTAACAACAGAAACAGCACTCAGAGACTCCCCGCCCTTTTGTTGTATTAACAATTGTGATTAAAATAGAGATAGAGGATGTATGTGGATGGATGCTTGGTGTGGATAATAACTGAATGATCAGGGAGGTGCCAGCCTAAGAATCCAGTGTCCATCGGCTGAAAAAGGCGTCAAGTGGAAATAACCAGAGGACCCCCTGGAGGGCAGACTGGAATCCACCCAACAGCCTCAAGAATGGGAGAACCAAAGAACAAGATAACATCTTGGAGCCGTCAGGAATGTGCTATCTGCTGATTGATTCAGCAACAGCATGATGAAGCAATTCCCATAGACTGGCATAGGAAGAAATTCCTATAAAAATAGACTCTAAAAAGTGAGAACTTTGGGGTCTGATTCTGCAAACCAACTTCCAGGAGCATCAGATGAGCATCTGACAAGGCTCTGCTCCCTCCTCATGTCCAGGCCACCTGGCCAGTGGCTTGGCATGAGCAACTCTAAGGCTGGTAACTATGATAACAACCTTGCAGAACCTGTGTGTGTGTGTTTGTATGAATGAATGTGTGAATAAATATGAGATTGAATGGAATGTTATAGCTATAACTAACTGCTTACTATGGTTCTTTCTGTATTCACAATAAATGTGGTATTTTGCCTTTTTCCCTTTAATAAGATCCTGCTGGTTTTTATTTTATTGGTATAACAATGACACCATGCAGAAACTGGAGTCCCCCAGATGGACCTGGTCCTGACTGGCCATCAAGCAAAGTTCATCTGTCTTATTGGGAGTGGTGAGCACTGTATGTGTAGCATGTGCAGTCTGGTTTTGGTGATTGTTAATAAATAGAGGTTATGTAGTATATTACTGTGTACAGCTCTTTCACTAGTAAAAGACCCCGTAAACCCACAAAAGATTAAGCTCTGAGTCCACAGGGAAAGGGTGTTTGCCCGGAGCCCACGGAGGATTAGAGCCTGGAGCCCATGGAGGGGTAAAGTTAGGTGCTTTTTACCTGGAGCCCTAGGAACTGGGAAAGGGTGGGGGTGCCTAAATTAAGAGGGCTACACCTTGAGCACTAGGACCTGGGTAAAGGTGGGTGCCCTAGAGTTTGTGAGTAACAGAGAATTTTGTGCGGGTAACAGTGGATTTTCAGCAACTGTTGCTGATCTCACATGGGTAGCACGTTTCTCAGTTGTAATACACACACCAGTGGGGGCCAAAACCATAACATCATGTGACTTAGATATCCAATCAAACTACTCAGATATTAACCCTTGGCAAACTGCTCCTGAAGTAGCCTCCTTGCCTGGGAACCGTTTTCAGGGGGATTCTAATGTATTTGAGAAAACTCCAACCTCCTCTGAGAAATTTGCAGAAATTTGGAGAAAAGCTAGAAAAGGGGACCTGACTGCAACCTAAGACCAAGACAGCTCCATCTCTTTCACAGACCAGCCTTCCCCAGGTGGCAGAAAGCTCCAACTGTGACTTGCTTCCAATTCTGGGCCCTACCGGCATGTCATTTATTTGATGTAGATTGGTAGATTGATACATGATGATGAGGCTCTCTGAGTTTCACCAGAAGAAACAGACGTCAGGCAGATGTAAAGATAAAACTCTGGACATGAGAGGACTTACACTTCAACTGCTCACAAACTATCTCAAGATGCAAAGAAAAATGTCTGGTAGTTCTCTTTGTAACCTTTGAGCTCAAGGGTTACTGTGTCAGTGTATCGCTCCCGAGCAAGATCTGCTATACATACAGTGTTGGGTTTGCACAGGTATAACTACGTCAGTTAGGGGCGTGATTTTCTTCTGATATGGTTATACTAGTACAGCTACTAGTGTAAATGACATCATTCTGGTATAAAGGTATCTTATACTAATGACAGGTTTCAGAGTAGCAGCCGTGTTAGTCTGTATTCGCAAAAAGAAAAGGAGTACTTGTGGCACCTTAGAGACTAACCAATTTATGCTCAGATAAATTGGTTAGTCTCTAAGGTGCCACAAGTACTCCTTTTCTTATACTAATGTAGTTTATTCCTCTTCCTGCACAGGAATAGCTATCCCAGTGTAAGCACCTTTATCCCAGTGTATAATGGTATAAGCACCTTCATAGAGTGGATATAAACTGTATATACCGATATAACTCCATCCACTCCTTTAACTATCCAGGATGGCTAACCCACTGCAGCTTTTGTGTCTAGATAAAGCCTGAGTCCTTACTGCACTCATGTGTGCTTTCATGCTGTTCTTACATTGTTGAACTGTTTTCCCCCCTGTAAGCTCCAGAGGCTGTCACAATGGCCCTGTTTTCAGAAAGGAGGGTCATCAAATCAGGGCATTTCCATTAGGGTCAAAGTAGCAGGTGCACAAGTAGAGGCCCAGAGACAGGATCCAGCCTCAGATTAGGAATTGGGCCCCTTGCACAGAAATACTCATAAGTGGCTGTGGCTTGCTGACCTAACCAGAAAAATGGAGCTCTGATCCCAGCAGCAACAAACAGGGACAGTAAACAAGGACAGGAGTTTTACGCCATCAGTTACTGTCCAGGGGCATAGCCTCTGGAGATGGGACCCCAGCAGGGGCTCTGGGACAATTTGTATAATGGGGGTGCTGAGACTCATTGAACCAAACTGCAAACCCTGTATATGATTGAAACCACTTCAAGCCAGTACCTTTGGCCTCCGGTTGGCGCCCCAGGGAGCTATAGTCATGGGGGGGCCAAGGTCCCGGTTTCCAGCTGGCACCTTTGACAGAGTTGGAGAATCCACCCGGTGCCTCCCCTGCGTCAGCTGCTGCCCACCCCTCTTCCCCCCGATTTACGGGAAATCACACCAGGAATCAATCATCCTTAATTTTTAACAGGCTGGGGCCAGAGCCAGCCAATGGCTGCATCCCCCTCCACCCCATGCTCCACCCTCAACTGCTCTCTGTGCCCTGAGTGCTGGGCTCGGGTTTGGACACTGATCACTCTGGAACACAGGGAGCAGGTGCGGCTCTGGGTCTGGGGTCAGATATGAGGCAGACTGCAGCCCTTTTCCACCTCTGTCAGCCCTTCTTCTGTCTCTCTTCTGCATCTGGTGTCTCTTCCTCCTTCTCCCTGGCTCAGGCTCTCAGCCCCTGGCTTTCAGCGAGAGGGGTGGGGAGCTGCTGGGAGTGAACCTAGCATCCACACTGGCCATGTGATGAGAGATTGCGAAAGAGACAGAATGGGAAGACCCAGAGTCACACAGAGAGAGGGGGAGGCAGACAGACGTACGCACAGAAAGAGGTGCGTAGACAGACACAGGGACAAGTGGGGAGGGTGGGGGACAGACAGACAGACACAGAAGGGTGAGAAAGACAGACTGAGAGAGTCACAGAGTGGGGAGACAGACACAGAAGGGATGGACAGACAGAAAAGCAAGGAGATGGGGGAACAAAAGACAAAGGGTGTGGAAGGACAGACAGGCAGGGAGATGAGGGGGACAGACAGTCAGAGGGGGAGGATGGACAGACAGATATAGAGATGTGGGGAACAGACAGGCCCTAAGATGAAGAAACAGATAGGCACAAAGGAAGTAGACAGATAGACAGACACAGAGATGGGGGACATACAGACAGGCATAGAGAGAGTGGATGGACAGACTGAGGGAGTGGACAAACAGGTAGATATAGAGATTGGGGGGCAAACAGGCACAGAGGGGGTGAGCAGACAGACATGTGGAGATTGGGGGACAGAGAAACAGGACAGACAGACTGGCACAGAGGGGGTGGCCAGACAGACAGAAGCCGAGGGAGTGCAATGGAAAGGGCATTGGGTAGAGCAGGCTGAGGAGGGGGCACTGTGCTTCATTGGGGTGGGGGTGCACCTGGGGGTCCCAGCCTGCCCCAGCCAGGCCCAGCACTGTGGGCAGCTGGGCCAGGAGAGGGCAAAGGTGGGAAGGGTTTTCACTGACTTCTGGGCATTGCTTTGGCAGGATTCGTTGCCATGAAGAGCTGGCTGATCCTAGTGTGGCTGGTGACTTTCGCAGGCGTGAGTCCATCCTCCGTGCTGGGGGAGCCTTGTCCTTCCTGGGGAGGGGGGAGTTTAACCCATTGAGTGCTGGAGATGAATGCTCCAAGGACCCTAGGGCTGGAGATACAGAGGTGCTGAGCACCAGGGACAAGCACTGATGTCAGTGGCAGCTGTGGGTGACCCACAGCCCTGAAAATCAGCTCCCGAGTGGAGAGTCAGTGCCTCTCGAGTGGGCAGAGCTGGGCCCCCAAACAGTGGAAGTAGCCAGAACCAGGGACTGATCTGAATCAGGGGGTGCCACCACATGCCCACATGCACCTGCTTTGCCCGGGTCGTAGGGTAGGGCTCAGGCCAGGAAGCCCATAGCAGAGCCCGGCACCAACTCCATTGCCTGAAATCCCACTCTTCAGACTACAGGGCCAGAGCCAGTGGGCACAGCATAGCATGCTGGGTCTTTGCTCAACTCTGCCCCAATCCTGGCACATACTGGAGTCACCTGGGGGTTGCTCTGAGCTATGCCAACTTGCCCATCTGGGGATGGTCAGCGCTCTGGATGTGGAGGATGTTTGGTTGATTAAACCTGCAAAACAATTGGCAAAAACAACCATTTTCTTTCATTTTTGCCTATATTTTTCTGCAAAACCTTTTGGGTTTTTATTAACAAAAAACGGAAAATAAATTCCATGTTTGGCCACCAAAACTACTTTTCCCCAAATTTGGGGGTTCAAGGCCCTGGAAACCCAAAAATTTTCACCTGCTTCGGCAAAAATTTGGGGGTTCATGGAAAATTTTCCAACTGAGATGTTACTTGTTTTCATTGCTGAAAACTGTAACATTTTCTGAAATTTCATTTATTTCAGCAAAAACCTAAAACTGGAAAAATGATGGGTTTTAGTGACTGAAAATGTTTTGGTTTCTGATAACTGGAAAGCAAAAAACTTTAGCCAGTTGGACAGAAATATTTGCTTTCACTGAACATTTTCACCTAAGCCCTGAAATTTTTCTGTTTTTGGAGACTGAAAAAATGGGTTTTTAACTGAGCCATGTCATCCAAAAATGGAGATTCCCCCCGCCCCTGAAATGCCATTTTTATTAAAAAGCCATTTTTTGTTGAAAAAACATTTTGCACAAAGAATATTTACCAGAGTGGTGTGCTCTGGCCACACCCACTGCCCCAGAGCTCCACCTTCCGGAAACTCCACCTCCTGGGAACTTCCCCCCCTTCTGCCTCCTGAAAACTCCTCCTCCAAGGAACTTCCCTGTAGCTCCACCCATTGGGGATTTCCCCACTCAGCTGAATCTCCAGCTGGGGAGATTCAGGAAGTTCCTGAGGGGCAAGGGGCAGTGAATCGCCCCTTAGTTGGTACCAGATCCAATTCCCCTTGATGCTGCCCTGCGTGTTGGTGCCCAGGAGCCCATCACACGCCTTGGATCTCACTTATCTGATGGATCCTTCTCCTTTCCCCTATGGTGTTGGCACAGCAGGATTGGCTGGATGGCGCAGAAGGGGACAAACAGCACTCTGCTTCCAAGTTCCCCTTACAAGCTACTGGCCATGACTCCACAGGAGGTGAGGAAGCCAACAATGGGACCCACCTTCTGTTCCATCCCTGCCAAGAGGACGGGGGGAGGCTCAGTGGTTTGAGCATTGGCCTGCTAAACCCAGGGTTGTGAGTTCAATCCTTGAGGGGGCCATTTAGGGATCGGGGGCAAAAATTGGGGATTGGTCCCACTTTGAGCAGGGGGTTGGACTAGATGACCTCCTGAGGTCCCTTCCAACCCTGTTATTCTATGATTCTATGTGATTTGGCAGGAAGAAGCTCTGCAGACCCGGGAAGGGAGTAGAGGATGGGGGAGAGATGGAGGGACAGGAGATCTAGGAGGGGTCAGGGAAAGAGGAGTCTGCAGGTTGCAGAGCTGCCTCCAGTGTGACAGAGAGAGAAGGGGAGGCCGATTGTGCTACTGGCATGTGTGGCCCAGGAGGGGTCCCTGAGAGATATGTACCACCATGCTGGGCAAGGGGCAGCGGGGGGGAGGTGCACATGTGATGGCAATCCCCCCGGCACCCACCACAGGGGAGGCGAGGGGGCTTGCTGGATCTGAGAGGGGCCCTAGGAGCATGTGCAGTGACGGTGGTGCAACATGAGTGTGGGGTGGGGTGGAAGAGGGGTGCTCTGCCCCTGGAGCTCCCTGCTGCCAGCTGGGAGAGGGATGGGAGGAGTCCTTCTCTCCTGCCTCCTCAACCCCTGTCCCGCCCCCAGCCCCAGCCAGAGCCCTCACTCCCCACACCCCAACTCTCTGCCTCAGCCCTGAGCCCCTCCCAAACCTCCCAGCCCCACCCCATAGCCCTCATCCCTGCACCCCAACCCTCTGCCTTAGCCCCTCCCACACCCCAAAACCTTCATCACTAGCCTCACCCCAGAGCCCTCACATTTGTACATTATTTAAAAAAATGTACAGTAACTCCTCACTTAACATTATAGTTATATTCCTGAAAAATGCTACTTGAAGCTAAGCAATGTTAAGCGAATCCAATTTCCCCATAAGAATTAATGTAAATACGGGGGTTCGGTTCCAGTGAATTTTTTTTTCCAGACAAAAGACTATATATATATATAGACACACAGCATAAGTTTTAAACAAACAAATATTGTACACAGCAATGATGATTGTGAAACTTGGTTGAGGTGGTGAAGTAAGGGAGTGGGATATTTCCCAGGGGATGCCTTACTGCTAAATGATGAATTAGCACTCAGCTGAGCCCTCAGGGGTTAACACATTGTTGTTAATGTAGCCTCACACTCTACAAGACAGCACGAATGGAGGGAGGGGAGACAGCATGGCAGAGAGAGACAGAGACACACAACCTGTGTGTGTGTGAGAGAGATAGAGACGTGCATTGCCCCTTTAAGTACGCTGACACCACTCTAAGTCCATTGCCATTTTAAGAAAAAAGAAAAGGAGTACTTGTGGCACCTTAGAGACTAACCAATTTATTTGAGCATGAGCTTTCGTGAGCTACAGCTCACTTCATCAGATGCATACCGTGGAAACTGCAGCAGACATTATATACACACAGAGATCATGAAACAATACCTCCTCCCACCCCACTGTCCTGCTGGTAATAGCTTATCTAAAGTGATCACTCTCCTTACAATGTGTATGATAATCAAGTTGGGCCATTTCCAGCACAAATCCAGGTTTTCTCACACACACACCCCACACACACACAAACCCACTGTCCTGCTGGTAATAGCTTAGATCTGCAAGTTGAGACCGCAGCTGCTGCCAGCATCCTGAGCCCTGTCGTGTCTGCCCTGACTCCCCCCCTGCCCGCCGCTCTGTGGATGGGGTAAAGGAACAGGGGGCAGGAGCGGGGGGGACACACCATGACATTAGCACCCCTCTTCCCACCCCATGCACAGCAAGCAGGAGGCTACTGGGAGCAGCTCCAAGGCAGAGGGCAGGAGCAGCACAGGGCAGTGGGGAGAGGGACAGCTGAACTTCCTAGCAATTGCTAGCCTGCTGCCGCACAGGAAACTCAGTGGAGCTGCCGGTCCACCCTGGTTCCAAGCCCCCTCCAGCTAGCACCAACGGGCTGCTCTTCCTGCAAGCAGTGGCTAAAGCAGGCGGCTGCCAAGCAACGTTATAAGGGAGCATTGCGCAACTTTAAATGAGCATGTTCCCGAATTCAGAGGTTCTCAAACTGTGGGCCGCGAGCTCCGTTCAGGTGGTCCGTGGATAGTTCCTTCTAAGGTGCACACCTGGGCGGCCGCACATGAAACAATGAAGGGCACCCACCTAATTAGTGGAGCTGTGCAGGCCTGGCTCCACTAATTAAGTGCCTGGACGCTGGAGAAAATGCACTTGTAAGGTCAGGTGGTGGTCTTGGGGGAACTAAGGGGTAGGTGGGAGAGGGCAGTCGTGTGAGAAAAGGGGGTGGGGGGAATTGGTGTCGTGAGGGGCTGCGGCGGCCAGAGAAAGAGGCGACTTTCCCCAGCTCCAGGGCTGCGTCTGCCGGGGAGAGACAGCCCTCCTTCCCAGCCCCAGCTCAGGGGCTGCTGCGGTAGGGGAGAGAGGGTACATCCATCTCATTAGAAAGGTTAAGACTACTGTGTGACAAAGCGGGACTGTTCTTAATGTTTCCTCTGAATATTGGGGGGGTGCCTCAGTTTCCCCTATGCAGTTCTTAAGTATCTAGGTGGTGGGATAAGTGTGTATGATTGTTGCAGAGCCCTAGAGAGCAGGTGTGTGCAGGGGTCTGGACACAGAGAATGGCCACCACCCTGTTTCCTGGCAACTGATGGCCTGGCCCTTCCCCCCTGCAAGGTGAGAGCTAAAGGTGTTGGAGAACAAAGGAATCAGGTGACCTCCTGGCCCGGGAAAGGGACAAAGCCCAGAGGAGGAGGGGTTGGAGAGAGTTTCAATTTGGGGCTGGCTGGGGACATAGAGTGAAGTGCAGACGGGGTTGTCTGGCTCACTGCCCCCCCAAAATGGACCCAGCTGAGGGGTCCTGTTCTCTGCACCTACAAGCTCTGTTTTAGACCATGTTCCTGTCGTCTAATAAACCTTCTGTTTTACTGGCTGGCTAAGAGTCATGTCTGACTGCAAAGTTGGGGTGCAGGACCCTCTGGCTTCCCCAGGAGCCCGCCTGGGCGGACTCGCTGTGGGAAGCGCATGAAGGGGCAGAGGATGCTGAATGCTCCCAGGTCAGACCCAGGAAGGTGGAAGTTGTGTGAGCTGTGTGTCCTGAAGACAGTCTGTTCACAGAAAGGAGACTTCCTCAGAATCCTGACTGGCTTCGTAGGGAGCAGTTCCAGAGCATCGCCTGGGGGCTCCGTGACATACTGATATTAAAATATGAGTTGGTGCTTTTATGTGTAGAACAAAAAAATGTTAAGGGTTTTTTATCCAAAGCGCTTTACAATAGTCAGCTAACGGTACAAACAACATTTGGAAAGATCATTAAGTGGTCCACCAAGACCCTCAACAATTTTCAAGTGGTCCGCGAAAAAAAAAGTTTGAGAACCACTGCTCTAATTGATGAGCAATGTAACAACAAAACAACGTTAACCAGGACGACTTTAAGTGAGGAGTTACTGTATATTGGCTTACAAGGCAGGTGTTGCGGGCAGTGGGGGGGTGGGACTGTTCTGGGCCCCACCAAAAATTATGCAAACCTGTCTCCCCTGTGTACCAGAGATCCAGAATACCACAGAGCTGGCCAAGGAGCTAGATGAGCCACACAACAAACCAGACAACGAGCCAGTCAAGGAGCTAGCCAAGGGGCTAGACAAGGAATCAGTGGAGAAGCTAGCCAAGGGGCTAGACAAGGAATCAGTGGAGGAGCTAGCCAAGGGGCTAGACAAGGAATCAGTGGAGGAGCTAGCCAAGGGGCTAGATAAGAAGCTGTCCGAGAAGCAGACCAACGGGCTAGACAAGGAGCCAGCCAAGGAGCTAGAAAAGGAGCCAGCCAAGGAGCCCACTGCTGCACCGACCACTGAAACCACTACAGCACCCATCACAACACCTCAGCGGTGCCCACCCAGTGACCCCTGGGGAACCTGTGGGGACGACTCCAAGGAGGAGAGCCCCAGGGTTGCAACGGCGCTGACTGATTTTGCACTTAAGTTCTATTCGAAATTGGCCGAGGTGGAAGGCACTGGTTCCAACGTGGTCTTCTCGCCCTTCAGCGTGGCCCTGGCGCTCTCGCACCTCTTGCTGGGTAAGGGCAGTTGCACACACAGTCAACGCACACGCAGATGCAGCTGTCTCACACACACACACCTGTCACACATACACCCATCACGCATATCCACAGCTGTCACACACACACACCTGTCACACATACACCCATCACATATACTCAGAGTTGTCACACACACACCTGTCACACATACACCTATCATTCATACCCACACCTGTTGCACACACACCAGCCACACATACACATACCACATGTACCCACAGCTGTCACACACACACACCTGTTACACATATACCCAGCCTTCACACACACACACATGTCACACATACACCCATAACACCCACAGCTGTCTCACACAAACACACACACACACACACGCATCATACATATACCTCTCATGCATATCTACAGGTATCTCACACACACCTGTCACACATACACCCATCGTGCATACCCACATCCATCACACACACGCACACACACACACACCCCTGTCACATATACACCCATCACACAGTCACCAGACATGTCCACACAAACATCACAGGACCAAACAGCCATCATGCATGCACACACTACCATCGCATGCACAACCATTGTGCACACAGCCATTGCATGCGCAGACACAACCATTTCACACATGCACAACCACTGTGTACGTGCACACACACACCCGTTACACAAATCCAGTCAGCACACACAGAGCCATCTGACACATACACACACAATCATTGCACACACAAAACCACCACACACACAGAGCTGGTCACACAACTATTGTACACACATTCAAACTCACAAACACAGCCATTGCTCACACCCACCTCTCTCTCACAAACACCCATTACACATACCCCTTCACTCACCCCCCACAATCCCCCATACTCACTCCCATCTTGACAGGGCCATGCCCAGCTCTGCCTCCCTCAGGGATGGTGCACTGAGAGCCTTCTCCCATTGGCCATGGGCCAAAGCAACACTGCTGGGTGGCTGGGATGAGATGGTGTTACCAATGGTACTGGGAGCCCCTGCTGAGAAGGGGAGGCCCGGCCAACCAAGGAAACCCTAGAGACCAAGCTATCCCATGGGGATGAGTCTCCAGCCCAGCTCCCAGTGCTACCCACACATGGAATTGTCTGAGGCCAGTCCCCCTGCAGGAGTGGTTTTTGCCCCTTTCCCCAGCCCTGTCAATCTTCATCCTCCCATCTGAGAACTTGTTCTTCTCATGCAGGGGCCCGGGGCGAAACCAAAGAACGGCTGGAGTCCATCCTCTCCTACCCCTCAGATCTCATCTGCGTCCACACTCCACTGCAGCGGCTCCTCAAATCCCAGGCCTTGATCTCGGCCTCAAAGTTCTTCCTCCGCCAAGGTGAGTGTGTGTGAGGGCTTCACATCGGCACTCAGGTCAGCAGAGAAATGCCAGTGCTTTGCTTTTCCCTCTGAGGATCTCAAAGCACTTTCCAACTCCCCCCTCTCCAGCATGCCTTCAGGGAAGGAGGTATTGTCATGGCAGGGGTCCCAAGGCAGTACTGTTGCAGAGAGCCTCACAAGTTCTTTTTTTTTTTTAGCATGCGAGCAAGTGTTCAGGCTTTGGAGACATGCTGTGTTGCTGTTAGTTTTGTGATGCAGTTTCTTTTTGGGAGGAGCTGTTACAAACAGCAGAAGGCTTTGCTCTCTGCCTTCATGTCTGTAACTAGAGTCAATTCTGGTGACAGACTTGCTTCCTGGGAAGTGGGCATTGGAGTCTGGACTGGGATCTATGAAAGAGGGGATTAGCCTGAATGCTCTTTGTGACCACCCCATTCCAGGACAGGTGGAGATGGTGTAAATAAACAAGTTATCCCCTTGCGATTTCCCCTACAGGGCCCCGACATCTAATGCTGCTCAGCAGAGAGGTGATCTTACAGATGGGGAAACTGAGGCACTGGAAGGGGCAAGGGGTTGTATAACTTCCTATGGTCAGGAAGAGGGTTTGCAATGTTGTTAGGGGAGTGAGGGGAGGTTGGTGTTGCCCAGGTGGCAGAGGGGAGTTTGAGGGCTTCACAGGGCAGCAATGGCATTCGGTTCCTCATCCCCTTGCCTTCCCGGCTTGCAGGCCTGCCCCTGAACGAAGCCTTCCTCAACCAGTCACTGCGCTTCTACAACAGCCGGCCCCAGGAGCTCAGTGGCAACAAGACCCAGGACTTGCAACTCATCAACAAGTGGGTGAGAGACGTGACCAAGAACAAGATCAAGAGGCTGCTGAAGGAGCTGGAGCCTGACGTCCAGCTGGTGCTGCTCAACGCTGTCTATTTCCAATGTAAGGGAGGGGGGCATTGCACCGTGCCATGCCCAGGACCTGCTCCCCTGCCCCCCTACATCCCCTCCAGAAACCCAGGTCCCTTGGACGCTTCCCCCCTCCCCCCTCAATATCCGAATCTCCAGGGACACGCTCCCTCTGCCACTCCTGATAGACCCACCCCTGTGATACTTGCACCCACTGAGACCTGTCCCCTGAGATATCCGAGCCCCCAGGGAGCCCACCTGGAGCTCCCTGCCACAAGGGACTCCTCCAGGCTGCTCATCCCCTCAAGCCCCCTGCCCTCGAGGGACTCCTCTGGGATACCCCTTGTGGCATGCACTGAGGGTGCTCCCTGGCTACATCTCCCTGTCCTTTTGCCCTCAAGCCAAATGGAAGACGACCTTTAAAGTGAAGAACACAGTGAATGAGACATTCTACCGCCCGGGCCAGGCCCCAATCAGGGTGCCCATGATGACCAGCAAGAAGTACCCACTGGCATTCTTCAATGACCCCAGCTTGCAGGCCAAGGTGAGCCCCCGCAGGTGATCTGTGCCACACCCCTCTCCTCTTGGCCCCTGCCTTGCCTACCTTCCAATGGCAACTCCATTTTCCCCTCCTTCTCCTCTCCACTTTCTCCTTCTTGTTTTCCACCCCATCACACCTCCTCCATAATGTCACTTAGTGATGTCCCCTGTGCCCCCTTCTCCACACTCCTCTCCCCTCCCCACCTCCCATCTCATCTGAGTGAAGCCAGCTTCTCAGAATAGCATGCTCAAGGTGCAGGTGGGGTGTGGGGATCTCAAGCTGAGGACTCTCAACTCATGGCATCCAATATCCATGGCTCCACAGAGCGTGGATCCAGTAATTGCCCGGGAAGCTTTTTCTCCAGCACAGCATTGGTTCTACATGAAAGACACCCAGATATTCTGGTGCTGGGTGCTGGGATAAGACCCTAAGAGAGATGGTCAGCATTGACAACTGCAAGTCCTTATTGTCCCACATTTCCAACTGACCCTAGCATTATTTGCTGAGCTGGTCACAAAACACCAAGATTTTTTGTGGGAAAAGTCCAAAAACGTTTGTTTCCTTCATGATTTCCAGGCAACACATATTTCAGAGATATTTTGGGTGGGGGGAGGGGTGGTTGGTTTGTTTGGCCTTGACTTTTTTAAACGAGAAACTAACACAGTTCAATTTGTCAGCAAATCAATTTTTTTGTTAGAAAGCAAATCAGTTGTTAGCAGGGAAAACACTGAGTTTAGTGCTCTAAAACCACTGTGTTTTGTTTCGAAAGAAAATTGATTTCTGGCAAGAATTTTTATTTTTAATTGGTTTTCTTTAAGAATTTTTTTTATCCTTTCTAGTTGTTTTTGGGTAGAAAGTAAACATGGGTTTGGTAAGAGCAACAATCTAATGCTTTTTGGTTAAAAAAAATCAGTTTTCTGTTAAAAAGGAAATCCGTTTTTTATGGGGTGAAAATTTTCAGTAAGAAACCAAATTGGTCTTTTGTTTGAACAAAACAGGATTTGGTTAAAAAAACAGGTTTACATAAAGAAGAAAAGTGTTCTTTGGTTTCAAACACATTTTTTAATTTGATTTTGGCAAAAAATATTTGTTTTCAGTTTTTTTTAAAAAGTCAGTGAGCAACATTTCTGGCTTTTGAAACCTGAAGCCATTTAATGGAAAATATTCATTTTCCACTGTTTTGTCCCAAAATATGTTTGGTGGGAAGTTTTGGAGGAAATGTGGTTGAAAAAAAATGGTTTGATGAAAAAGTGTCACTCAGCCCTAATTGCCCAGGCGTGGGAGTGGACAGGATGAAGAACGGGAAGGGGGCGGGACTTGGGGACACAAAAGCACGTGGGAGAAATGGATGCTGTCCCAGGGATGGGGAGTGGGGCAGCAGGGTAGGTGTAGGCCCAAATGGCCTGATCCCCAGCTGACCAAGACTGCAATCAGTGACATGCTGCTTGTTCACGCCCGCAGGTGTCTTGGAGGTCCCATTGAAAGGACTCCAGGAATAGGGGGATGGGGTGATGGGGGCCCAGCTGTGGCACAGGAAGGGATGGACGGGAGAAGGGGACGTTTGATCGGGGCTGAGGACAGGCCCTCAGCACAGAGAGGCCTTTGTGTCATCTTCCCCCAAGGTTGGCCGGCTGCAGCTGTCCCACAACATGAGCCTCATAGTCATCGTGCCCCAGCATGTGTCCCAGATGCTCGCTGAGGTGGAGCGGAAGCTGACCAAAGAGACCTTCACTGCGGTGATGAAGAAGCTGATGGACTCCCCCTTCAAGTCCACTGTGGTGAGCCTGCCCAAGTTGAAGCTGGACAGCTCCCACAACCTCATGGACATCTTGGGGGAGATGGGTAAGGATGGTGCTGAATGGGTGGTGGATGGCGGCAGCGGGGGCTGGGCTGGGGGGTACTAGGGGTGGGAGGGGAAGAGGCAAGAGAGCCCACTCCCCCGCTGGGCAGGAAGGGACATCAGAGCAGGGGTGTTGTGACATCACTTCCTGGAGGGGAATGGATGAGCAATTATGTCATTTCCTGAGGGGTGGAGTCAGACCACTGCTTCTGAGGGACCCATTCCCATGGCTAATCCACCACACCAGTGTCTACTGGGTCTGTGAGACCAGTGGACAGACCATGGACCGACCCTACAGCTCCCTGGTTCTGAGTGACCCATTTCCTTGATTGATCTATCCCATGTCTGATGGATATGTGACACTGCTGGATGGATCATGGACGCCTGGTTTCGAGTGATCCATCTCCATGGCCAATCCAACACACCAAAGTCTATTGGCTCCATTTGACTTTTGGACACATCACAGGCTCCCTTGGTTTTGAATGACCCATTCCCATAGCTGATCAGTCCCATGTCTCTTGGTCCCATGAGGCCACTGGATGTATCATGGGCTCCCCTGGTTCAGAGTGGTCCATCTCCATGGCTGATCTCTGGCACTGGTCTCTACCCGGGGTGAGGGTGGGGTCTCCAGGACTGGGACAGACTCCTGGGGACTGAGGTGTGGCTTCTACATCCTCCCATCTCTGCCTGTTCTCCAGACTACGGCATTTTCTATGACTCCAACCTGTGCGGCATCTCAGAGGCAGAGGATCTGTTGGTGACAAGCGCCCAGCAGCGGGCCATGCTGGAACTGAATGAGGAAGGGGTGGAGGCCGTGGCTGCCACGGCCTTTTCGGTGGCCCGCACCGCCTGGGTTTTCGATGTGCAGCAGCCCTTCTTCTTCGTGCTGTGGAATGACAACCACAGCTTCCCCATGTTCATGGGCCACGTCAACGACCCCAGAGTCTGACCCAGCCCCCTCCATGCCCAGTTCCACTTGCATGGTATGCCCTGGTGCCACAGGCACTGAACAGTGTTGCTTGGCTGTGACGCTTTGGTGTGGGGGGTATCTGTCTGTCTGTCTCTCTCTCTTTCTCCCTCCGTACATAACCATCCATGCATCCCCATGCACTCCGTTCTACCTCGCTATCAATCTCACACACAGCATCTATCAAGGGACTGACCTGGGAGACAGTGTAGCCTAGTGGTTAGCACAGTGGACTGGGACTCACAGAGACCTATGTTCTACTGCTGGGCGACCTTGGTCAAGGGACGGTCTAGCTCTATGCCTCAGTTTCCCCATCCACAAAATGGGGATAATGATCCTGACCTGCTTTGTAAAACACTTTGAGATCTGCTGATGGAAAGGACTGTAGATGAGCTAGGGATTATTATTATCTATCCATGCATCCCCAATACGTAGCCTCTATCTAGCTATCTCCCAATACACCCCATTCATCACCACAGTCTGTTCTCTCTGGATTTTCCTTCCATCTCCCTCTCTCTTCTCCCCTCATCCCCTTTGTTCCTCCCTCTCCCCACTTGACTGTCTGTAGCCTGTGACCATCCCAGGCTCGGACCTTCTGAAATGTACAGGGAAGAGCTGATCTGTGGGGGGTCCCTTTTCCCCACTCCCTTGACTCTGTCCCCCTCACAGCAGCCGCTGCCTCTTTCAGCAGTAAATAAAGTCTGAAAACTTTGGCTTCCTGGCGTCTCCTTCCCACCTCCCAGAGAGCCTGCAGCCAGAAGGGCTGCGTGAGGGCAAACGCTATGGAGTGGAGGGGGTGAGGCTAATTTCACTGGTCCGGTTAACTCCCTGGGTGGTAAATGTAGGGGCACAAGGGTAAATAACGCCTTGAGGGGTCATTATCCAGATCTACTTACTCCCCACGCAAGTTGTTGTCACATTGAATTCCCCTGGAAGGACCTGGCTCAAGGATTTCCTAGGCCAAGATCCTAATATGATCTACATACATGTACATGAGAGATCCCATAACACCAGCAGATGCCTCCCTCTGCCCCTCACTGCCCCCCACTCCATCTCTTTTCTTGCCCTAAGGAATCCCCATATTTAGCACCATATCCAATGGGGCAGCCCCACTCCACTCTCCAGGTGGTATAGTCCACTCAACAATAGCTTGACGGCTGGGGGCGGCACCCATTGGAGGCAAGCGGAAATTAGCATGCAGCGCTTGGATTGGCCGAGTTGAGGACTGAGCATATTCTGCTGCGGTATAGCCAGCCAGCCAGCATGTTGTATACAAATGAGCCAAAGAGCTGAGATGCGGTATACAGTGGTCACAGGACTAGAAAAGTTGTGTGTTTTATTTAAAAATATACTCGCCACCAAAGCCTCTGAGGGGGGCCACACCCCGGTGGGAAGGTGAGAGAGGCAATAGATATGAAATATAATTATTAGTAGCATGGATGAAGAGATGCACAGTCATGCGCCAAGGGGCGCAGGAAAGGGTATTCCTCTTGTTCTCGTGAGCTACATTCCTCACTACAAAGGTGCTTTTGGTTTCCAGCTGGGCTTGGAGCGCTGGGTGCATTTTCCAAAGCATCCAAGTGACCCAGGCTCCTAAATCCTATCTTCAAAAGTGATTCAGGCCCTCGGGAGCCAGAGTCTCAGTGGGACTGCGCGCCTGTGTCTGTCTCTTTCGGAGACGGGACTTAGGCCCAGAGCCACAAAGGGGGCGTCTCACTTCTGTTGAAATCAATGGAAGTCTGGAGCCAAAATGCTTTCGTCCCATAGGCATGTTGGAAAATTCGACCCACGGTCTTAACTGTTCCACCACACACATGCACACACATGCACACACATACACAGAGCAATGCACAAACACACCACCCTCTACACACTCACCCCTACGCCCACCTTTTGCATACACTCACACACACCAGCTGCACACAAGTGTGTCTTCAGCCACAGGGGAACTGCAGTTGCTTCAAATACTCAAGAAGCTCCTTAGAGAGCTGAGGCCCGGTGATGATCTCCCTCCACCCGGTGCCAGCAAAGGGCCAGGCCACTTCGCAGAAGGATGGGTACGGTGCTGCTGATGGCTGCTGGGCAGAACAAAGAGAGAGAGAGGGAGAATGAAATGTCAGAAAGTCGCCCCTCCAAAAGCTGCCAAACTACAGAACACCTGGATTTTGCTGCAGGTCACCCCCTATGCCTGAGAGATCACAACATTCCCCAGCCATCAAACCGCTTGGAAAGTCTGTGTCATGCAAATGAAATAAGCCAGGCTTATAAAGCAGGGAAAGAGCTAAACAGAAAAGCCTATGAAGGCTCCCAGCATGGAGGTTTGAACCTTTGGTCCTTAGGTCTTCACCACAGATCCCTTTCTCAGGTGTTAAAGCAATAACATTAAATCAGTGACTCTGGAGGCTTGACTAGAACTAGGTGATATTTTTCAGCCAAAACCTTCGTCTGGAGCAAGTTCAGTGAGCTGGAAATATTTCATGAATTTGTGTTGATTTCACCAAATTGTTCATTTAGGGAAAAAAAACTCAAAAAAGGCTCAAAAACTCAAAACATTTTGATTTTTTCAGTTTTAAAAGACTTTTAATTAAAAAATGCCCTTTCATTTTATTTTGTAAATATTCAAAAATGGTCAAAATCAAAACTGTTTCAACATTGTCATAACAAAACGTATGATTTGACCGAAAAGAAACCTTTTCTTTTTTATTTTTTCAGGCCACCACAAATTTTGGAAATGTTTAGCTTGGGGCCGACCTGACACGGATTTTTTCCCCAACTTTTCCGAGTGACCAATGAACCAAAAAAATCTATCATCTTCCCAGCTCTCGTCACAGCATAGCCTTCATGGTGGGTCACAGCAGAAGAATGTTAGGTGATCTCAACTCCTGGCTTCTGTTCTTGACTCTAGCAGAGGCGTGTGGTCTAGTGGTTAGAGCAGCACTTGCAAGGGGGCTGGACTTTGTGCCTGTGAAAATCCACCTAAATTTGACCTACTTATACATCTCGCATATGCTCAGTAGAGACTAAGAGTTAGGCAGCTAAAAGTTTCAGTGATTCTGTCTGCACTGAGCGTGCTCCAACCAGCCCTGGGAAGCAGGTGCTCAGCAGCACTTTCCCTACAATTTCTGCTCTTGGCTGCCAGGAGCCACTGCCTTGCTGGAACTGAGAGCAGGGAACCCATTTCTCCTGCACTCCCTGTGCTCCCCTGTTGGTCCCCAGGCATCATGGAGGGGAAGATAGAAGCCATCTGAGAGTGGATAGGGTGAAGGAGTTGCAGTAGGCAGAGGGTGCAAAGCGGGGACAGGGCAGTAGGGTCTATAACCACTAGGGTCTATCCCCTCCAGAGCCTGCAATGGAACCCAGGCATCCTGAGTCTCACTATTCCTCTGCTGCCATCCAATAGCTGTAAAACCCACTGGCCAAATGTCCCAACCCCCTCTTCACACAACACACAGTCAAGCTGTGGAACTTGTTGCCAGGGGAGGTTGTGAAGGCCAGAAGTATAACGGGGTTCAGAAAATAATTATATAAGTTCATGGAGGTTAGGTCCATTGATGACTATTAGCCAAGGTGGTCAGATATACAACCCCATGCCCTGGGTGTCCCTAACCCTCTGATTGCCAGAAGCTGGGACTGGGCGACCGGGATGGATCAGTTGACAAGCGCCCTATTCTGTTCATTCCCTTTGAAGCATACTAGGCTAGATGGACCATTGGTCTGGCCAAGTATGGCTGTTCTTATGTTCTTAGTGTCTGATTCTCTTGGAAGATAACAGCCTATCACTGCGCCCACCTATTCCACTAGCTCCAGAGGCAGAGCTCTGTGTGGTGGATCTAAACGTTCCAACCCTGCTGATGACTGAGGCTAGAGTCGAAATGGTTCCACTGGGGGAGACCTGGTTTTCCCCCCAGTAATCTTTAAAGTTCCTAGGAAATTACATCTATAAAAGTTACATTAAAAGAATGTGAAGGTCACAAAGTCAATCATTCAACAGTTAGGACGTAGCAGAATTAAAGCTGCCCCTGCTACCTTAATTCATCTTCCTTAGCCATGTGCATCATGATACAGGCTTGGATGACACGATTACAGACTATTTTTACCCATGTTCCACATTTCCCAAGGAGAGTGACCCCACTGGCTAGGGGGGACTCCACCACCTCTCAAGAGAGGCTCTTATCACCACCACATCACAGGGAGGGGTGGCAGGGATAGCTCAGTGGTTTGAGCCCTGGCCTGCTAAACCCAGGGTTGTGAGTTCAGTCTTTGAGGGGGCCATTTAGGGATGTGGGGCAAAAATTGCGGATTGGTCCTGCTTTGAGCAGGGGGTTGGACTAGATGACCTCCTGAGGTCCCTTCCAATCCTGATATTCTAGGATTCAGGGCTGCATTAATCAAGCTCTGAGATCAAGGTCACACAGGGAGTCTGTGGTAGAGCCAAAAATTGAACCCCTGTCTCCTGGATCCCAGACTAGGGCTTTATCCACAAAGCATCAGTGCTCTGCATACCAATGCGCAGTAATAATTACATGCAGAATAAACTATCTGCAGAGACATGTCAGCTCTGCTTCCCCCCACAGCTAAAGGCAGCAATGGTTTCTCCCATGGTTTATCTGCAGGCTACAGCACTGTCCCAGGAAAGGGATATGGGCTCCTTTACCTTCATCTTGCTGATGGTGTTTCTGAGGTGGGAGAGCTGGCGCTGGCAGAGGCTCATTCTGCTGGTGATGCTGAGCGGCAGCTGGTTGGTTCCCCAGAAGCTGTTCTCCAGGTGCATCAAGCAGGCATTGTACTGGCACAGCTGGGTGCTGATCATGTCCTGTGACATGGGAGAGGAGCTGGGTCAGCACTCGCAGAGCTATCTCCCACCCTCGTACAGGAAGCTCCAGAAAGGACCTGATCCACAGTCCTGCTCTTTATTCTGTGTCTGTACAACCCCTGGAAAAGCAGAGCCCGGACTGGCCACCTTGGGGAGTCTTGCTCCTGCTTTGTGGTTAGTTATTGGCTGTCTAGTTATTGGGCCTATGAGCCAGGAATCCTGGGTTCCATTCCAAGCTCACCACATGGCCTGAGGAAAGTCCCTAGCCCTGTCCGTGCCTCAGTTTCCCCCTCCGCTAACCAGGGGTGATGATCCCACAAAGAGGCTTTGTTAGCTGTAATGAGGCTTGAGCCCTCCAGCACCTCCTCAGTTCCCACCTCGGGCCTCCCTGACCTCCCAGTGAAACAGGCGCTGAGGCAATCCGCCTTTCAAAACAGGAGGATGGCGAGGGCCAGGGCTCTGACGAATTCCCCCATGGCAGGAGCTGATATGAGGCAGCAGCAGCAGGAGAACCAAGCCCCAGGGTGTTTCGCCCCCGCTCCCTTTGGAAGGAGACGTGGGCTCGGAGGGCAGGAGTCCATCAGCCAACCAGACCCAGGGGAAAGAAAGTGTAACCCACCCCCACGCAGTGCAGGGCTCTGTCCCCTCTCATGAGGGCTGGGTTGCCAGTAGAGATTGGCTGCAGTTTCAGACAATGCAGCAGGGCCCCTTAGCTCAGGCAGGAGAAGTGCACGCTTGCAGGTCCCAAGTGTGACCCCTGAGATGCCAATGACTTGTCATTAGGCTGGAAGATCTCAATCCAGCCTTGCCCCCTCCAAGTCACCGGGCACCTGCTGCCCGCACTGGGAAGGTCCATGGGTGTCCTTACCAGCTGCGTGGCCCCGTCA